TTAATCCCTCCACCTTTTTTCATCCAGCCCCCAAACTCCCTCCTCTCTAACTGCTACCCGTCTGTTCTTTCTCTGTGAGTCTGTTTCCACCTTGTTTGTGAAATCATTTTGTTCATTAGATTCCACATGTATGTGAGACCATGTGGCAGGGTTTCCATTTCGATGCGTAGCACCACCTTGTGCACTTAGCATGCACTGAGCATGTGTTATGTGCCAAGCTCTCAAGTGTTTGACATGCGTGAACTTATTTAAGTGCCAGCACTGGAAACTGTCTTACTTCATAGTTGAGAAGAACTAGGGCACTGGTTTCACTTGTTCCCTCGTGTGCAAACCTGGGCCCCCCCAGGCAGTCTGGCCCCTGGGGTCACGCTCTCGGCCACCCCACGGCCTCCTTCCTGACCACAGATGACCGATCCTTCCCCCGCCTCTCGCCTCCCCGCCTCCCGCCTCGCTCATTAGCCATCACTTCCCACGTCCTAGTTTCTCTTGATCCCGCTCGCCTCCGTTCCTGACATCCTTTGTGGCCACATGTAAGACCGCGAGACGATGGTGACAAGAACTGGAAGGGGCGTTCGACCATGCTCTGGGCTGGGAGGTAACGTGGGTGGCACAGATCTCGGGGTGGAAACACTAGTAGTAATTTGCAGGGCGGGGAGGGGCGGAAAGAACTTCCTAAAACTCCACCACCGTTCAGGCTGCCTCCCGGGACTGACAGGAAGGGAGCCGACAGGTGACTGGCTGCAGGTTGAACACATCCCCTTTCCACGTCATGTTTGCAAAGCCCACGTAATTCTTTCTCCCTCTTCCTTTTGTTTTTGAAGACAAGCGTGAAAGCCTGCTCCGGGCTCCTGAGCACCCAGGGGGCAGCCCCAGGAGCCGGGCCCTCAGAGCCAGGCGGCTGCTGGGAGGGGCGGCCCCCCACGGCCCTGTCCTGTGTGTTGCGTGGGCTTCCTGTGGCCCCAGCCCTGCACGTCAGAGAAAGAACCGCTGTGATAGGGTCTAGGGCAGCCGTGGGCAAACTACGGCCCTCGGGCCGGATCCGGCCCGTTTGAAATGAATAAAACTAAAAAAAAAAAAAAAAAAGACCGTACCCTTTTATGTAATGATGTTTACTTTGAATTTATATTAGTTCACACAAACACTCCATCCATGCTTTTTTTCCGGCCCTCCGGTCCAGTTTAAGAACCCATTGTGGCCCTCAAGTCAAAAAGTTTGCCCACCCCTGGTCTAGGTTCTGCCACACTGTGTACTTGCCATTCACTAGTTATCACATGGGGCTCACAGAAGGTACTGTGGGGCAAAGACAGTGAGGCTCCGAGGGGCCTGGGCAGCGGCAGTCCAGACACCGGGACACCCTGCATAGGCTGGGCACCAGGGCTGGGCACAAGCTGGGCATGAGGCTGGGCACAGGGCTGGGCATGAGGGTTGGGCACGAGGGCTGGGCACAGGGCTTGGCATGAGGCTGGGTACAGGGCTGGGCACCAGGGCTGGGCACGAGCTGGGCATGAGGCTGGGTACAGGGCTGGGCATGAGGCTGGGCACGAGGGCTGGGCACGAGGCTGGGCACAGGGCTGGGTCCAGGACTGGGCATGAGGCTTGGCATGAGGCTGGGCACCAGGGATGGGCATGAGGCTGGGCACGAGGTTGGGCATGAGGGCTGGGCACGAGGCTGGGCACCAGGGCTGGGCACCAGGGCTGCTCTGGCGGACGGAAGGGGCCACTCCGATCACGCGGGAACCTGGGCCCGAGTGCCCGCCCTCCTGCACCACTAGAACCCCCTCGGAGAGGGCCTGGCTGCCTCCCAGCCTCTCTGGTTTCAAGCTCGAGACTGGCAGTCCCTCAGGAAGGGTCTGTGGGCAGCGGGAGAAGGACCGGCGTGTCCCCTGGGAGCCCCTGCACAGAACCCGCCCCGCGAGGAGTGGCCGCCACGGGCCGCGAGGACCGCACCTGCGTGGCCGCTTTTCCAAGAGACGTTGCCGCCGTTGTTTCAATTTGAAAGTTTATTTTTCCATCGATGGTTACACATCAGAACAGCACAGAGAACCCACGGTTCTTTTTTTTGTTTTTTGTTTTTGCACATTCATTTTCCCTCAAACAAAAGTGAACTTAAAAAAGAATTTGCAACCATGCCATTAGCTCTTTATAAAAGTGGATAAAAAGTAGTTTGTTTTAAAGTCTAAAATAAACAAAGGAGAAAGAAGCATTTTTGTCTACAGTATTGAGCAAACATAAGAAAACGTCCTTAGAAGCACACGTAAAATTGAAAAACGTTATCGTATTAACAATATTTTATAATGAAGCTTAAAACCTATTTACATACATAAATACAATGAACTTTGTTGATGCAACTCTCCTGGAAGGAAAAAGAAACCCCACGGCCAGCCTCGTGGGTCCTGACCTGGCTGAAGGGAGAGGAAAAATGCCAGAGAGACAAACAGAAAACCCCGAACAGTGCGCACTGCAGGTGAACGCACAGGCGTCTGTTCAGATGTCACACCTGTTTTCTGAGACGAAGGTTAGACTGACGTCCGATGTGTAACAGACCCCAAACGTGTCACCCCCCGGAAACAAAAGCCACCCAAACCGAGAATCGCTGGGCGGGATGTCCCACGCAAACAGGTACGGACAGAGACCCGCAATGGGAACTGCAGGACTTGGAGTGAGACCATGCGTTTCCTGCCCAGTGAGAGCCGTTCCGTCCGTGGGCACAGCCCGGGCAGCTTCAGCTCTGACTGTACCCGGCCTGGCAGGCTCCGGCCGGGGCCGCGCTGAGGCCGCGGGCACCCGAGCGGGAAGAAGCCCACTCGCGGCTCCTCCAGTTTGGACTCCTGGTGTTGGGTGGGGTGTATCTCCCACACAGAAGGAGGGGGAGAGGGGGAGAGAGACAGTGGGAGATGTTACAGGGGCAAAGAGGGAGAGAACTGTAAGTATTATCGATAGTGAGAAAAAGAAAAAACTGCAATGAAACGTGTCCATGTCTTAATTATAAATAAGATGTAGCGATGGCTTAGCTCATTTTTCTTCTCTGGCACCAAGGCTCCCGGAGACGCCCGGCTTTGCCATCACTGGCTGTTGGCCTCCCTGCTGAAAGGCCACCTTAATGTACCGGCCGGCCGAACGCAGTCCCTCAGGGAAAGTCACTAGGTGCGCCCTCTACCTCCCAAACAGCTGACCTCAGATTCACTTTTTCTGAAACAATTAAACACCGAATATGCCGGAAAGGGTCTCCGGATGGCCAAGCCCGAGGGCCTGCGGGACAGCGAGCAGCCCTGCTCACGCGTGGCCTCAGACCGAAGGCTCGCGCAACAGGTGACCTGATTCCGGTGCAGGACCCTCGGCTGATTTCCAGCTGGAATATCATCAGGGATCAGAATTGAACAACAACAAAAATTTTTTTCCTTCATTTTCCCCAGCATTTTGTCAGGGTAGATGTGGCCACAGGTGCTGGAAAGAACATTTAAAGTCAATGTGGGGTAAACGGGCTGAGGGTTCTTTTCCGAAATAGACATTTTAAATGGGCTGACAGGTAATTTTCCCGCCAAAAAAATAAAAATAAAGCAATCTAGACTAAAACAGGGAAATGAATGCCGGAGGGAGGATTATGTCTAAAATGAACATGGACCTCGCCCAGGTTTCCCCGAGCTCTGCTCAGCCCTTTTCTAGGGAATCTTGACCTCACAAGACAGACTCCTTCCTCTTCCCCTCTCACCAAAGTGCTACTGCGTTTGCGTCAAACAGCATACCCAGGGCGGGCAACAGTCGGGGTACAGCCGCTCGCATGGCAAATAATACAATAATGAATAAATAACAATACAAGAATAAACTCTGTGTTTTGCATATTCACAACTGTAAACCCACGTTCCCCACCCCTGGATACAGGAGAAAACTCAAAAACAAGTTGTTTTAAATAAACTCAGCTGTCTTTGCTGCCTGCAGCCGAAGATCTCCCTAACGCGAATCCTTACATTTACAGAATAAAAACCAAACACTGTTCTCAAGTCCTGCTCTCACACGCTCTTCCGAGCTGACCCGAAGTCGTTCCCACGAACTGAAGAGGTACATTAAACGGCCCCCGACCATTTTGAGCGCACGCACGTCCCAGTCAGCCGTTCGTATGTATGGGCTGTGGTATTTACGTGCTCTGACCGGATCCTCCAGTCAAAACAGTGCCATCAGGTTACAGTGACATCGGCTGTGCTTGACTTGTAGCCATGGGCAGCAGTGGTGACACGGATCTTTCCGCTCACGGGACGCGCAGGTCAAAGTGCACCCTCCCTCCCTCCCCCCAGGGGCGGGTCTCAGCCTGGGGACAGCGACACGAAGGTGGGTGGTTAGTGAGCAGCAGGGGGTGGGGTCCTGCACAGCTGGGACCGATGCTGTCCCGCGGGACTCCAGACAGAGGGAGACTGGCTCGCGCAGGCCGGCTGCTGGGCCCATCCTGGCCGGGGACCTGCAGCGGGCAAAGGGCAAAGGCACCCGGCCCAGTCCCTTCCACCCCCGGCCTCGGGGAACAGCCACACGTTTTGTTCTGTGTAAACGAGCAGGTACGGCAAACGAGGAGCATTTTCTTAAAGCTAAAAGCCACTACATTCTGGATTCGGCAGATCTCCTTCCCACCCCAGAACCCAGCATCGCAGGAACCCCTGAATTCACGGATTTGGCTCCCATGTGGATCCTGCTCCCCCACATGGCTGACTTTGGATTTGTTCTGAAATTACCAAGAGGCACGCAGTGAGCGGATCCCGAGGCCGACAGGAAGTCCTCGCCAGAGGGGCCTTCGCTGGCATCTCCCGAGCCCTCTGGAGCCAGGCTTGACCTCTGCTTCCAGGGCGGGAGTCAGGCAGCAGAGCCTTTGTGGGGCTCGGCAGAGCACCCCCTGCCTCGGGTCTCTGGACGGACCCTCGGGATCTGAAAAGGCTATTAAAACATTGCTGCATTAGCTACCAACTCGTTTGATTAACATTAAAGGAAGTTTAATGTAAACAATATGTAGATAACCAAGTGATCACATTACCCATCCTTTCTTCCCAGCCTTCTTCAATGTGATACATTTAACTTTGGCTACTATCAAAAAAAAATGTAGTACTTGATATTCTTCTTCTTAATATAAGTACATTTAAATAATAAAAAAGTATCAACACATAACTGTCTATACATCAAGATACATAAATATCTAGGGATTCCTCGTGGGAATACAGTAGTTGAAAATGACCCAAAGCTGTAGCTGTTTCTTAAAAAAACAAAAACACACAACTACACAAAAGTCCAAAAGAAAAGTTAAATAAAACTTACAAGAAAAGGAATCATATTTTTTTTCAATTGTCATAGCAAGAAAGAAGCAAGCTCAAATTTTTATATATATGTATATAAAAATAAAACCACCCCAAATGCAAATACGCATTTTGCAATTTATAAGGTGCTGGAAAAGAACATGAAAAATACCAATTCGATGCCAAACAGGATGAGTTGCATCCCCCAACCCTGAACCAAACTTCCATACTCTTTGGAATAAACAATTTGGTTAAAAAGTGAAGTCAGGGTATAAAATCTTTCTTTTATTCACAGCATTGCTAATTCAGAAGCATTCACAGTTTTCCTCTGGAATCTTCCTGTTTGCCTCCCGGGGCCCACATGGCCGGACCGTCACACTCTGCAGATGGCGGGCTCCGACGGC